TCAAGCGATGAAGCTCACTTCGGTCCATCGTGGCTCAAACGTAGAGCGCACAGAGGATTCAGGTAGTTCAATCTACTCACGAAGGACTACGAGTGCTACCAAGTGTGACTGGGTCATACAGCACCTTGCACAGAGGAAGTGCTTAATGGTATTTACTACCCGAGTGAACGTTGGCCCACGTGTTCTCGGCCTCAGTAGGAACGGTTTGCTACTTTAATAGTACATTTAAGACTGATGTCTTTATAAGCAAGCTTAGCTTGGGCTCCATACAAACTAAAAGTCACCTATAGTGGAGCTATGAAGTTATGCCCTGACTGGCTCCTAGAGCACCTGTTACTGTGTGGTAGCCTACCACTGGTAGGTGTCCACAAGAGTGATGGGTCACTCTCTTCAAAACCTGGGGTACACTGGATTGTAATAATACATCCTCATACAGTATTTCTGATACACGCTGGTGACGTCCAGTACGAGCGAAAAACTGTACTACCTCGGCCCTGACCATACAGCAACCCGTTGGCAAGGTACTAAGTTGGTACTACATGTACCAACCCAGTGAAATGTGGTGGTCGTTTATCGGCAGCTACATGTATTGGGACTATGATCCATTATTATGGTACATCCCGCGTTAGGAAATTTCTAACTATGGGATTGTCAACCTGTTCAGTGTCTTGCTAATCTAATTTTGGCAAAAGGGGGCGATCTTGTCAAATCCGAGAAGCTACCACAAAAAGAATCAGACTGGAGCTCTACCAATACCTACACAAACTCGATTTTTGCGTCTGACAAAGCCGTGACGTATTTATTGTCACAAATCGGTAGTAAAACGCTGAGGCGTTTTTCTCTCGTCTCCACAAAATGTGTCGACGCAAAATCGTTCGTACCTCATTTCTGGTACAGCTATCGGTATCCAGTCAAGCCCACTTCTAGTTTTGCTTTGGGACACAACAGCTCAAACAATGAGCCGCCGTACTGCTGGAAGAGGACGGGGCTTCACTACGCCTCAGGTTGAACGTACGTAATGCGTCACAAATAGGATCTCATGATTGACTTTAACGCTGCTTTCACTATTGCAGGCCTCTTATCTCTCGTCGAGCAGATTCTCCCTCTCGGATCGGCTCAATGGGATGATGTCCACTACGCATACAATCGGAACCTGCCTGCTGAGTGGCCGCAGCGCGACTCAGATTCGTTACGTCGCAAGTTCTACGCGTTGAAGAATGCTAAAAAGCCAACAGGTGAGTGAGGCCTGTGTGTGCTGTAATACCATCATTCATCTTTATACGTATACTATGCTATAGAGGAGATCCGTCGTGTCCCCCAGAGATTCGACGAGCGAAGCATGTCTTTAGAGAAATCGAGGGCAAGTGCAGTGTGTTGCAGCTAGATGATGACGAACAAGAAACCATTTCATCGGAGCCGCTTGCCACCGAGACCCAGAATCTCGCATCTGATTCGTGCCTAACAGCAGCCATTTCCGGAGGAGGCAGTATGAACCCCTACTTCGGCATCGATGCAGGTGAGATTGGTGGGAATGTTGAGGAAACATTCGACGAGCAAGAAGATGGAGCTAGCGCGGGCTCTGACGCCTCTCTTAGTGAACCGACTGCGAAGCCTAAATCGAGTACTGGAAAGGTAATTAAGCACATGATGATTTAATGTTTTGGTGGATTTCTTGTTTTTACTAATTGATAATACAATTGGCATGTGGTAGATCTCAAAGCTTCCGCACGCACCGGCAAAACACCAGTGGAATTAGCGCAAATGAGTAAGACGTTGAAACGACAGCGTGACGAGAACGTGACTATGTCACATACAGCAAAGACACGTCTGAAAATTGACGGCATGCTACAGCAGCTTACGCAGCCAAACACGGAGCTGCCGCAGATGCTCTTTGCCATGGAAGAGCGTGCCCATCAACGCGAACTTCAATATCGTCAGGAAAAGGAGGCCCTTGAAGAAAAACGTGAAGCTGAGCGACTTCGTGCTCAAGAGGCACGAGAGATTCGTGAGATCGAGCGTGCCGAACGCGAATCGCAACGTCACGAAATGCTCATGACTATGCTTGCTGCTGTAATTGGTAAGAAGTAGATTGGACTACACAGAATTACTCTACAGCGAATAGAGATGCAAACTGAAGCCGAGCAAGTGTTTTTTTTATATTGAAAGACTGAACGAATCTGACTAATGCCAGTACGGCGCACGCGAAAGTTATAAAGCCTGTAAATGCTGTCCAGACGGATTTGTCTTTTGTCTGCATTGTATGAAAGCGGAAGTAGAAGCCGGCGATAGCATTTTGAAGCCGACCCCATTCCCCATTCAGCAGCTTGGCGAAGTGATGTAATGGCTTTGTGTAGAGCCATTAAAGCCAAGTGGCATTCGGGCGACGCACGCTCCAGGTCGCCGTCCTTTAGTGGGGTAATGATCTTCCCAACTGCCTCATTAACTACAGGAAAAGCAGAGTCAGCAGCGACACCAGTTCCAGGAACGGTAAACGCAGGGTTTGATAGCTTTGCTTGCAGCTGCCGGCTCGTTTCGCCGTCATTCCAGGAGCCTGGGCAATTATGACGGCCCCATACCAAGGTTCCGTCGACACCATAGCAGAGAGTACCGGTCACCAAAGTACTGTGCCAGTATAAAAGACTGAATACTAGCACCAGTTTGCAAATAGATATACATTGTACGTACCATTGTAGTGAGCGTTCTGAAGGTCCGCATTTGTAGGCTCTTGCACGCGATAATTCTTGCCATCGACGAGCCCCCAAATTACTTGGATTAGTGGCTCTCTAGCTTGCGTGAGTCTTGCCCACTCCACTTGTTGTTCCTTAGAGGGGAAGCGAATGCTGGCGTCGGGCAGAACCTTCAGACTCGCACACAGCGCGGCCTCTGCATTAGCTAGGACTCGAGATAGGGTAGCTAGAGGGACACCAAAAAGTTCGCACAGCGTCTTGTTCTCTACGGCTGCTGTATAGAAGTGCAATGTACAAGCTAACACAGCGTGCTTAAAAATGAACTTTGGGGGCCGCCCTGGCTTGCCCACGCCGCTTTTAACTACGTAATGCACGCTAAACACCTGTAGCAAGCAATCAAATGCCTCAGGATCAAGGGAGACAACTGATATGAAGCTCCCACGATCTCGACTAGCATACAACGTGTGCCAGGGTGATTTAGCAGGATAAATTAGCGCTGCAACTGTTAGAACATTACGATCAAAAGAGTACATACGACGCAGCCGTAGAATTAACATCACCTGCTTCTTTAAACGCGCATTCCGGTGCTCGCTCGCTAGCACAAGTCGCTGGCGTACATGTACCCATAACGTTAAAAGTGTTGATTTTGGTATGATAGCAGACATATCACAAATTCGACATATATTTCAACACATTTCGCTTTTAAATTTGTGTTTGTGATTGCATTTGTGTAGGTTTTGGTAGAGTTCCAATGTATCCATCTTCTCCCGTGGGCATACACACTTCCGTCGTCTTCATTCTCGGCTCTCAGCAAACCCCTATCACCACCATCGACAGTAATGGTGCTACTAGCAGCACTCTCTCTCTCTTCACCGGACGAGCTGTTACTAATGCTCATGTCCGAGCTAGAGTCTGCAGCGTCAACACCTGTGTCTCCTTCCGCATCACCAACTTCTCGGGCGAGATCAGATCGTGTCTAAGCAGCTATCCCCACTTCGCGACGTATTGAGCGCGCTGAGACGGTCTCTACAATACCTGAGTCCCACTGAACCTTGTACGAGCGCATACGAGACTCCTTGTTTACCATAAGTACGACCCCACGCCGCTCAGCGAGCTGCTAAGACTTGCCCTCTACGCGATCTCCTGGAGTAAGTGGCGGCTGCATTACGTGTCCGTTTGCTCTGTTTCGAATGACGGAAACAAAAGCTGCCCTTCGGCTATCAAAAGAATCAATCGCAGGGCTCAAATGAATAGCCAGTTAATGACGTACGAGCTGAAAACTCTGACCAACCGGTGGGACAATTGTCCTACCGTAGTACGATTTGAGAGCTAAGGTTAAGAGATCGATTAAAACTGAAATTTTTGTTCGTTTGTCTAATATCGTGTTCTCGAGGGCAGGAATGGGTATCATGAGAATTCTATCACTCTCCTAAATCTAAACCCAGACCTTCCTGGCATTAACTCGATAAGGCCGAGCGAGGTTTAGCCATGCTTGATCCTGGGCTCAAGCCCGCGTGCTTCGCACGCGGATCTTAAACCACAGGCATGGATTCATGAGTCTGCTTTCACCTTTCACCCTGTGACGGGGTCACACAGCACCTTGCGCTAGAGAAAGCTAGCTTCCGAGAGTATACAAACTCTCAGTGAACGGCAGCTCACAGGTCCCCTCTTTAATTAAAGCGAGCGAAGTGACCTAAATAAGGTAGATTGTAAACTGAGTATATTTATAGGTAGGTTAAGTTTAGGTTTAATACAAACTATTAGTTACCTATAGAAATGCAATGTCATTTAACCATTGGTTGGCTTTGAACGACCTTGGTACCTTGTACCAAATATCCCGGATATCATACTCCTGAAGTTTGAAGTGTCACACTTCATGTAACCAGGGTACACTTAGGGCTACGTACCCCGTTACACACCCCTCCTCCCTATTTCGTACTTAATGGGGGAAAACCCGTCGGCTTACAAATCCCAAGTAGCTCATACTGTGGTAATAGTCCCTCTCAAAAGACAAGAGCAAGAATATATATTTTAGATATATGCATGCAAATACGTTGGTGGTCAGCATTAATCGCGCCTGACCACCAACCACAATTTATTTCGGTTCATGCGCTTGCTACTCGACTCCGAGGGTTCTTACAGAATTGATTTTACAGATTAATGAAAATGTGTATTATCGCGGTCGCATAGCGTCGTTTACTACTGTAGTAGATTCTAGAAGTCGGTGGTTCTTCAAATGTAGTACACACGCCATCGATCAGCTCGCTCTCAATCTCATGCGGAATATGCTCTACAAGCTTCACCCAGAGGGCAATGCTACTGTCCATATGCTCTGGTTCTCGTACTTCAGCACTGATAAAGGTGTTCGGCTTCCTTTTCCTGGCTGCTACTGCAGCGTTTGCCCCGGCCAAAGCGCTAACAACCGATCTCCCATCGTCTCCGACTGCCTCGGAGCAGAAGACATGGGAAGCTTTCGTGGACTACGCTCTGGACTATGAGAAGAGCTATCGCAACGACGCCAACGACCACGACGTGGTGCAGCTGCGTTTCCGAGCCTTCGCGACCAATTTGGAGCGCATCCAGACGCACAACGAGGCCTACGGTACAGCTTCACGCTGGGAATTAACGATCTCGCAGATGGCGGACGCCGAGTACTAGCAGCTTCTAAGCTACCGTAGACTCCAAGTCCTCGAGTGCATCTGAGACGTTCGTTAAACCTGAGAACGTTGAAGATCTACCAGCGACTTGGGACTGGCATGAGCATAGCACTGCCACACCCGTAAAGAACCAAGGGCAGTGCGGCTCGTGCTGGGCCTTCTCGGCCGTTGCGGCCATGGAATGTGCCTACGCTCTGAGCACTGGCACGTTGGAGTCGCTCTCGGAGCAAGAGCTCGTGGACTGCACTCTTAACGGCATCGATACCTGCAACCATGGAGGAGAGATGAGTGAGGGATACGAAGAGATCATTATCAACCACAAGGGCAAGATTGACCGCGAGGAGGATTATGGGTACACGGCCGAGTCTAAGGGCGTGTGCAACGCCAAGGACGATAAGGCTATTGGCCACTTTACCTCGTACGCCAATGTGACGTCCGACGATGAAGCTGCGCTACAGGCGGCCATTGCCACAAAGGGTGTGCAGGCCGTGGCCATTGACGACAGTAGCTTCACGTTCCAACTGTACCGCCACGGAGTGTACAGCTGGCCGCTGTGCGGCAACGCCCCCGACGCGTTGGACCACGGCGTGGCTGCAGCTGGCTATGGCGTCTACAAGAAGAAGGACTATTGGCTCGTTAAGAACTCGTGGGGCAACTCGTGGGGCATGAAGGGCTACATCATGATGAGCCGCAACAAAGACAACCAGTGCGGCATCGCCACAGATGCCACGTACCCGATTATGACAAAGGAGGAAGTCGTCGAGGACCGTCCTATAGTTCTGGAGACGACGAAGCTGGCCAGCATCATGTAAGGCGAATGCTATGTGCCTGCACAAGTGCACTTATGAATTGATAGCCGGTGGTGGCTGCTTTTACGAATACTCAAAAATTAAATCACAAAATGAATACGGTGTTGGCATTGCCATGTTGCTAGCTTTGCTGTTGCTCCAAAAGGACAGAACATGCCAAACACATGTATTTACTGTTTCAGCACACAGCAAATCATTTCACTTGACTTATGTACACGTTTGACCTTCTGAGTGTCGCAATAAGACATAATCGACGATTAGAGGTCACAGCAGAATAGAGACCAGCCGCGCTTCGCTCGGCGCCCCAGAGCTCGCAATATGAAGATAGAATGTTCTGGAAAGTGTAGTGCTCGGCTCGCTGGTGAGCTCAGCGCTGGGCCCGCCTCCACAAATATCGCGCGAGCCCGCTTCGCGGGCTCTCCGCGCGGGTTTGCTGCGGCTACGCGCCTCGCACCCGCTCTCCTTAGATGGCGCCGCGGCTATGGCACCCACGTCGCCCAGCCCGTGTGTGTTATCCCAGCGATGGACGTGTGTTTCTCCTATTTTCTCCTCCAAAAGCAAGTTGCTTGTCGTTTTCCCAGGAAAAGGCACCATGCCCTAACCGCTAAAAACGCTAAGCAGCATCTTAAAAATGCCGCTCCGCGCTCAGTGAATTTATTAACCGTAAATAAACTATTTCAGTCTCTATAAATGATTTAAAATTTCAACTGTATGTTTTAAGCCATTTTTAGCTCAGTGAATGCCCAAATTATATCTTACAAACAGCAAGTTTGAATTCTGAATATCGCTCTGACTTCAAGCGTCAAGTCCAGATTTGAACCTTAGACCCTCTACTGCAAGTCGGGAATAGCAAAAACACGCACCCTCTCTGAGATACAGCAAGGCAAGCGGAAAGTTAGAAGGCTAGCTGTAGCGAACTATTCTATCGCAAAATGGGATTCTCAACGGCAAAGGATTTCTAGCGCTGTTCCCAACTTCAAGGCGCGTCACATGGACCACTGACGTCGCCATTCTTGAACAGCCACAAGGAATGACGTATCGCTCCTTTCCCCACGCAAGCCTGTGACGCGGCGGCCTAAACCGTGCATTTATTGGCTCCATTGGCCACCACTGATTTGCATTAATATTTTTCAAGCTTTTAATTGGACCAAATTACCCGTTTCGAAAAGAGACGGGACGATGAATGACGTCGTCATGTCTCTATGTATATGAAATACTCACTTTTCGAATGAACGAGTGGAGCAGTTTCCTCTCCACATCCAGCTCAACTGCTGTACATTCCGTATTCTACTGCCCGTGCAATATTTAACTCGACTCTGATGTCGACAATCATTTGTGAATCTCTTAAACGGATTGTGATCAGTCACTACATGATCCTGCTCGCAATCAGTGGTAACTTCTATGGGATGGGTCATGCTCATGAATGACACCAGCTCTTTGTGGTGCGACAATCCTTACGTGGTATCTTCACTGGAGACTGTGCACTCTAAAATCATGACTTTTGATCTAAGAATTTTTTTGTGTCAAATATTACCTACAGTACTTTGATTGATTGTTCTAATGCCAGATTGAATGTGACAATTGCATTCACGTATTCGCTTTCACTGCATTGTAGAACATTTCCATCGTAATTTGGCGCAATCTAGCACCAAGGTAATATGTAGAACTTGCCGATTTGTGTACAACTCTTTTTTGCTAGGTGGGTATTGCAGTTTCTGGAGTTGAAGTGGGTGATATTGAGTGCAAATCATAGCGTAGAAAGCCAACGAAGGCAAGCGGATGAATTCGTGGACATGATTGTGGCCGCAGCAAACCTGTGCGAATTTTGCGAAGGTGGGGCCCGTTGCCGAGCTTTATTAATAAAGCGAACCGTGCACGGCACTGTGCAGTGGACAGTGCAGTGCACTCTCGATGTGAGAGAATCTGTTTATTACAGCCGGTGAATGTCGCAAAGGCACAGACTGTGCCTTTGCGACATGCACCGGGGCAAAACCTAAAATCTCTATCACATCAGTCTTGCTATAAGCATCTACACTGTATCTTGGCTTTATAAAACAAAGACTCGACGCATGTTTTGCATACATGTATTAATCAAATTGGATGGAAAGGCCAACCAAGAAGAAATTAACAGGCCTATTCTAGGAGCTGTTGACACCAGTTTATACTGTGGCTTGCTTCCCATGTATTAATACCATCAGTCCTCACTTCGCAATTTGCTTTGCAGCTTCACCAACTCCACCAAGAAACACCTAGAATTCCTGGACCAATAATGCGTTTGAGCTATATCCTAGTGGCCGTTGTCTCAACTCTCTTTGCCCACCACGATACTGCCAGTGCTTCTACCGGGACCGACGTTTCACTAGCTGGTGTTTTGTCGCTGGGCTTGCTACACCTCGTCAGCGCTGACCAAAGTTTTACTGAGCCGCAGCGGTTGCTGAGCGGCAACCACAAGGTCGGCGAAGGTATTAAGGAAGAGAGAGGGTTCAAGGAAGTTGCCGAGGAGGCGATGGCAAAGTTTGTTGTCGACAAGGTGTATAGGACAAACTCTTTTTCGGCCCTCGAGAAACTAGAGAAAACGCTCAATTTGCCGGTGCTCGAAAAAGCTTTGGTATTGGCAGATGATAAAATGAAAGGGGCGTTCAAGTTCGCTGAGGAAGCGAAGATGAATCCTGCAGATATGGCCAAAATTGTGAAAGATTTCCCAGATTTCACGGATGCTGAGAAGATGAAGACAGTGCTAGAATACACCAACTACTTAAAGACAATGGGCAAATTGGACTAGGCTTAACAGAGTCTGTAGCAAGGTGCTGTCAATTAAGACTGAATTTAAGCTGCTCTTGTCAATTACCCATATAATGTTCTACTACGAAACAAGATGAACTGCAGCTCACAGGCGCCCTTGAATATGGCGCCACACATACGAGCACAAAAAATTGCTGGATTATGCTAGCTAACTCATATTAGCAGATACTATCAATATTTCCGCCACAGCTTATTAAAAGAAATTCAATCATTAACTAGAGAATATAGCTGGAGGGAAAAGCTCAATTCGGTGGAATATACTGTAAAGCATTTGAGGGAAGGCCAATCTGTATCGGTAGTGAAAAGGAAAACAAGTGGCGTGACTCTGTTCAATATTTTTTAGTTACACCGATTAAGCCAACGCGATTAAATACACAATTATTTCCGATATTATACGATTCATCATATCAAATGCGTGGTTACCTTTCCATTCATGCTACGCGAGCTAAGCGGGTAGCATCAACTCGGAACAAACGATCTGTCATTTAAATCTGTTGAAGAAAGGGGTTTGCTGAGATATCAGTGCAGGTGAGGAGAGCGAGAATATATGTAGGTAGATAATATTTTAATATTTAAAGTTTTATACATCGTATATTATAAAATTCGAAGTATTTCTTATAGACTTGTTGTGACTTCGATATAGCCATCATGTCGGAGATGCATACTCCAACAGCCTCCCACATTGACGAGCGTTTATAGTTTTGTCATTCACCTTTCCAGCATATTGCTCAAGTGTTATTTTGCAATTCTGAATGTTTTTTTGTTATTGTTTTAACTTTGTGATACAGTAATATGTGGTTATACAGGAAACCCTTAAAATGCTAGAATAAAACCTGTTCACCGTTGGCAAGGTGTCTTTTATCGATTTCATTTTCTTTGGAATGATACTTGAAGAAAACTATTAAAGTTTAGATTCATATTTACTTGGTAAAAGTAGCTGATTGATTTGTACCTAGGGTTTTGGGCCCCCCATTTTGTAATGACCAATTAAGCTGTCCAATGCTACTTCATGACATGGTTTACAATAGATGTTGCCCTGTTTTGGCGTATAGATTTGCTCGTTGGGCTTTTTCCTTTTGTAAAATACCTGCGAAAGCATGCCCTTGCTCTTTTTGATGGTCAGCGTCAATGCAACCTTAGTAGGAGGACACCTACCCAATATTAAGACTCATTCTAGGCTCACATCTCTGGGGCATATTTCTTCCTTGTGGCTCGTTGTTTATTTAAGTGTTGTTCTTCTTAGAACTATATTGTTATGGGTTTTACAGGACGGTGAAAGAGAGCTATCAATCCACTTTATCTTGTACTGTTGAACGCCTTTGCGCTTTCGGTGTCCTGTTACCGCCTGTACGAGGTGACCTGTCGAACCATCAGCGACGAGGACCGCTGGAACTCGTTGTCGACGGCTCGGATCGGGGTCGGAGTATTAGCGACGTAGCAAGGAGACATGGAATTCGGGAAAGAGACGTAGACCATCAGGAAGTACTAGCCAATAGCGATCAGGGCCAGTGACCGCCTTAATTCGGTATGGTCCAATAAATCGGTATGCATATGTTCGCTTCCCCGCTGATCCAGTGTGTGAAATATCGAGATTTTTGGTGTCGAGTAAAACTTTATCGTCAATGGCGAAACTAGTGGCGGGGCGATTGCGGTCGTAGTTGCGGTGCCAAGAGCGCTGAGCGGCCGCCATAGAATCATGTGCTTCGACTAGAGTCGCCTTTTGTACTTCAAGGAAGGTAGCGACAGGCGGAAAAACGTCGGCAGCCGTAGTGACCACCAAGTCGCCAACCGAACGCGGCAAATACCCCAGATCCGCGACAAACGGTGCCAATCCAGTGGTGGAATGAATACGCGGATTGTACGCAAAGTCAGCCATAGAAAGATAGGCTTCCCAATCCGTCTGGTGAGGATCGAGAAAGTGTCGGAGATACTCGATGATAAACTTGTTCGTCACTTCCGATTGCCCATCGGTCGACGGTCGAAACGCAGTACTCAAATGCAGTTCAGACCCTTGGAGCTTCATTAAACTGGTCCAAAACTTCGATGCGAATTTAGCATCTCGATCCGAAACAATTGAGCCAGGGAGACCGTGTAAGCGTTGATAAGACGAACAGAAAAGTGTAGCAGTATCAAGAGCGGAGGCTCTAGTTGAAGTCAGCTTAAAATGGGCCCGTTTTGTTAGTCGATCGACGATCACCATGATAGCATCGTGGCCAGCTGATGTCGTCGGTAGGCTCACCATGAAATCCATGCTAATGTCCTGCCATCGTAACGAGGGTACATCCAGTGGCCGCAAAAGCCCATGTGCTTTACCACGAGGGTTCTTCGAGCGCTGACATGACTCACAGCTAGCTACATACTTGCGAACAGTTTTTATCATTTTGGGCCAGTAATACTTTGCTGCCATGTAAATGTAAGTCTTCTGATAACCAGGGTGACCTCGGGACGCAACATCGTGCTCCTCAAAAAGCAGTCGATTGCGTAGCGACGCGTTGGCGGGGATGCACAGCCGACGAGGTGCTCCGACGAATGTCTGAAAGTAAACCAATCCAGCGTCGACGTGAAAATGACGTAATTCGGAGGAAAGCTCAGGCTGGTCTGTTGATAGCCGCTTCAAAATGGGGCCAATAAATGAGTCCGTAGCACATAATCGGCGCCACTCGTCGAGGATAGAGACTTGTCCCTCACGTTGCAGTACGAAAAGCGAGTTGGGCTCAATCGCGAGCCCCGGCTTCGTCAAAGACTCCAACAGTGCTAATAAACTAATCGCTCGAGCAGTCCCATCATTCCAGACGGGCTTCAAAGAAATCATATCCGCTACAATATTTGAGCTGCCTTCAATCCACTTAAACATTGGTTGGAAGAGCGCAAGCTCATTGAGCCACCGCGCCAATCTCTGAGAACCCATTTGCTGCTGGAGAATAGTGGCAATCGTGTGATGATCGGTGTTAATGTAAAAAGGTCGATCAATCAAATAAACTTTCCAAAGTCGCATCGCGTGCAAGGCTGCCAGAAGTTCCTTCTCACGTGTTGGACAAATTATTTCTGCACGAGACAGCTTCCATCCACCGTACGCAAAAATTTGCTCGGCACCCTTCTCGTCACGCTGAAACAAATATCCGCCAACTGCAAAGTCCGATGCGTCCATACTAACATGAAATGGGCGCGAAAAATCTGGATGTGCCAAAATCGGAGGTGATGCTAAACGTGTCTTAAGAGAATCGAACGCTGTCCTGTGAACCTCTGTAAACTCAACCTTGTCGTTCTTGGCTTTGCCTTTGGTTAATTCTGTAAGTGGAGCCACTAATGCCGCGAAGTCGGGACAAAATCGCAACACGCAGACACACGTACCCAAAAATGACTGAAGTTGATGCTTCGTACGAGGCCCCGGCCAGTCCGCGATGGTGCTGCACTGTGTTGGATCCATTTGAACGCCATCTTTTCCAATGAAGTCACCGAGACAAGGTATTTCTGCAGCACAAAATGTGCATTTAAAAAGTTTGATTTACAGATTCTGATCGACGCAGCGTTGAAACACCTTCTCCAACGCCATTAGATGCTCGTCCACGGACTCGGAAGCAGTGAACACGAGAATATCATAAGAGTAAGTCTGGCATAAGGCCTGCTGATCGCTCAAAATGGATTGCACGAGCCTATTGAAGCACGATGTACTTGACACGCCCATAGGTGTGACCAAGTACTCGTAGAGGCCATCGGGTGTGGAAAACGCTGTGTGCGGAATGGAGTCGGGCGCGCAGTCGAACTTGATAGAAACCACAAAGAATATCCATAGCCGAGAAGAGCTGAGCTCCAGCCATAGCTCGGTAAATGTCCTCCTTACGAGGTATGGGGTTAGCGGGCACGCGCATTTTTGCATTAAGCCACCCAAAGTCATGGACAATACGCCATTCTCCCGAGATCTTCCGGACGCAAAATGTGGGTGAGCAGTAGGGCGAAGCTGATTT